CCCCCGTACATCCCTGCCCTGGGGATGAAACCCCTGCACGCGCCTGCCTGGGGGCTGACTCACCCCTCATGCGCCGGTGCAGGGAAGTTGCTGTGCTCTTTCTCAGGGGCTGCAGGGAAACCCCGCACATACCTGCCCTGGGGATGAAACCCCTGCACGCGCCTGCCTGGGGGCTGACTCACCCCTCATGCACTGGTGCAGGGAAGTCGTTGTGCTCTTTCTCCGGGGCTGACGCCCCCTCCCGCAGCACGCCCGGCAGAGCAGCCAGCGCACTTCTGGAACCCCCGGAAGTGGCCTCTTTCTCAGGGGCTGCAGGGAAACCCCGCACATACCTGCCCTGGGGATGAAACCCCTGCACGCGCCTGCCTGGGGGCTGACTCACCCCTCATGCACTGGTGCAGGGAAGTCGTTGTGCTCTTTCTCCGGGGCTGACGCCCCCTCCCGCAGCACGCCCGGCAGAGCAGCCAGCGCACTTCTGGAACCCCCGGAAGTGGCGCTAAGCTGCAGGACTTCCATCCACCTGCGGGAAGCCGGCACTATCTCCATTTTCGCTGGAGGTAGGTAGTGGGGCTTCTCGGGGGTGAGGGGAGAATGGGGAGGCCCACAGATGCCTCGCGATCGACTGGTCAAGGCCTCGCAATCAACTGTGACCACGGGTTTAGATCATTACATATTTGCTTCCACCAATAATGTGGGAAGTTATTGGTGCTTAGACAATGTTTGGAGAGTATTTCCATGCATAAATGTAATGTGGCATTAATAGTTTTTTTGCTTTAAGTGACATTACTTTTCTTACCTCTTCCTTTGGGAGTGATTTCTGCCACCAAGTCATCAACAGTAACATGCTCTAACCCTTTTTCTTTGATTACATCTAGGGAAGATCAAGAAAGCCACTTCAATACTTTTTCTAATGAATGGATTCAAACAGGTCTATTAAAAGATTAATATACAAAACCTGCATATATATGTCGTACTATTAATCATACATATGCCTACTGTGGATTTAGTTTAGTTCATATTACGATGTTCAGATTACAGTATCGGTGGGTATGATATAAGAATATGAAAAGACAAGTGCGCCGACCAATAAGTTCACTTAACCACCATTTGACATATCTATCCTGCATATGCTAACAGCCGCCATTCTCTGGGCAGCTGGCATTGCAGCAATTATTTACAAATCTTTGAATTGCAGCCAGAACATGACTAATTTTAGTTAAATATTATATGTAACTTTAACCAGAAGCATAGAGCACAAGTGTAAAGATTTGAAGGTAATTAAAGAAAAACACACTAATACTATATTGTCAATTGCTCAGGAACATAAAAAGCAATCAGTGTACAGTCGGGGGCTGTACACAAGTGAGAAGCAACCTTCCCCTCCAAAAAAACCCCTCACTGATGTGGCACTTGATTGAGAAGGAGAAAGACACTGCCCACATTTCCCTTGGACAGCAGAGCCTAAGGGGTGCCCAGCCTAGTAGATTTTGTGTGTGCCAGCCCAGCAGTGGGAAAGTAGGGGGCTGGTGCACCAGTGCAAGCTCCCCAATGGCGGTGGTGGGGAGCGTCCCTGAGCCTTGGGGGCCAGGGCCAGATCCAGGCAAACCAGGGACCACATCCTGCTCCTAGGCTTGTGGTCCCCCCACTTTAAGCTGACCTTTCAGGTCTAATGCAGACCCGGCCTTAGGCAATAATTTAAGGTATTGAGTATAGTTAAAACCTTAATTACCTTTGCAGTGTGCCTTTAACTGATCCTTCCAGCCACATTCAATTAATTTTGCTCTCAGCAGCTCTTTAAGGCTGTAACAATGACAAGATGAAACTTACTAGAAGAAAAATGTGGATTTAACATCAAAGAAAAAATATTTCACTTCAAAGCAGGTTATAAAAAATACATCTCAGTAAGCCTGTGTGTGCATAACTGCACGCTACTTCATGCTGGAAATAAAATAAGCTACTATAATCAAAGGGATCCAAGATGGACAGGAGAAGCGACTTTCAGCGTAAATGATGTGATTTCAACGAAACACCTATAACTCTGAATTTGAATTATCCAAACTATGTTTTCGCTGGCGGTTTAAACCGGGTATTGAAAAACCTATCTTATTTTTATTATCAGAGAAGTCTGGGAAAGGCAGAATATGCCTGGCACCATATAACCTCCTCTTAGTATAATTAAGAGCAAAACTGACAAAGATTCAAGACTGTTCCACTCTATTCTATTCCTTCAGCTATTAGCGAAGGAGCACAGGAGCAACCCTCCTTTACTGTGAGGGGGTACACTGGATATGGGAAAGCAGAGGGCTAATAATTAAGAGGCAAAGGAGAAACCAATTACAAAAAAAAAATGTAGTAAGTTAGTATAGTGGCTTAGTAACAGAGATTTCAGTTCTTTATTCCAGAAACCTTTGTTCCCAACCTTTATGCCATGGACCAGCAAATCCATTCACAAACTTTTGGCAGAGTGGTAACATCTTTATTTGCAAGCCCTGCTCATCAGCACCGCTGTCCCCGAACCCGGCTCTTCCGGGTTGTAATCTACTCGCCACAGGCAAGTAGATTACATAGTTTGTCAAGCCCTGATTATGCAAATAATGAATATGCAAATAAAATGTTACCTGTGCATCTAGCCAACCCAGCGCTTTGCTCCCCGGTGCCTAACACCCTTTGACTCCCACCCCTATGCCCCATGCCCTTTGACCCTTTAACCTCTGACCCCTACAGCCCATGCCAACACCCTCTTCCCCCATGACTCCACTACACTCTCACCCAACATCCCTTTTCCCTTTGACTCCACTCCACCCCCTGCACTTCCCAGAGTGAAGCTGCCCCTTCCAGGAAGCATGGCTGTTACTGCCATGCGGGCAGGGGGAGCAGCCATTGGAAGCATGCCCTCTGCCTCCCCTAGCATGTCTCTCGCCCCCATGGGTAAAGGTGGAGGGGGAGGGGATGGAGTCCTGGCTGGGCCACCATCTTACCTAGGTTAGAGGGAGCAGGATGGAGGGAGGTGCAACCTGCTCCACCTCCTCTTGCCACCACCTAAGTCCCAGAACTGCTGCCAGGCAAAACCAGCCACCACAGCTGCTGGAGCTGAACTGCTGCCAATAGCTGGGTTCAGCTATGACAGCTGATGTAGACCAGCAGCAAGCAGTTCACGGACTGGCACTAGTCCGCAGACCAGCAATTGGGAACCACTGCTTTATCAGCGGTTCACGGACTGGCACTAGTCCACGGACCAGCAGTTGGGAACCACTGCTTTATTCCATGGGCTGGCAGCGCACACAGTCTTCGACCAATCTGCTTGCTCACGCAATCCTTCATTTTTGACTGAAGGAATTACAGCCACAGCCTGACGTGTGAAGTCTTGTCCTCTTTGACCAGCATGCTTGAGGAGGTTGTACTAAGAGGAGGACATATAGCAACAGGCACATCCCCAATATTATAGGGAAACAATTTCACTCCACAATTTCTGCCAAAAAAAAGTTGATGACATTTGTTTTATTCTGATTTAAGAGTAAAATCACCTCAAAATCCTTTCAAACATTCTAGCAGCAAGCGTGCATTCTTTCAAAACAGTATTTCAAAATAAATAATCACAACTAGAAGGGGAATAAATTAAAAAATAATATGGCAGTAATCCACAAAATATAACAATGGGAAAGATAACGTCTATAAGAAAGGACCTCTCTTTTTAAAGAATCAAAGAAAATGAAGGATTTGAGATCCACTGATGCAAGGGATCTTAAAAAATTAGAATACTTTGATAAAAGGGAAAAAAGTGTATATGGAATGAAAGGTGAAAGCAATGGAGGAAGAAGTTTTGAGAAAATGTAAGTTGTAGCCAGGAAATGCAATTACCCAGTTTCTTCTGCCTACCAATTTACTGTTAAATAGATAGCTAAAATTCTAAATGAGAGAGACTAATATTCTTCTCCCATTCAGAAGCATGAAGGAAGAAATTCAAGCACAGGAAAAGGAAACTGTACCTCTCCCTCTTGCCCTGAAAAAAAAAAGAATAAGTTGCAAACTTGTTGTTTAATTATTTAATTTTAGATTCATACAACGTTTTCTTCATTAACAAGAGCGTATAAAATGTTCACTTGGGATTTATAAGCCAATTTTTCCACCTGTTATTATTTTACCAGCTTTTTGTTTTAGTTAACCTGATGGAGAAGTTTTATTTTTCTTTACTTTTGAATATTTAAATTAATTCTTCTTTACTGGTTTAATACACAAGAGTTTCCCAACTGCTTCACAGCACTTAGAATTATAGAAGGGATGTCCCCTTTTTTTTTTTTTTTTTTAACACTTTTCAGAGACTCAATCATGCCTCATGAGCATACAAACTGTATAAGGGGGGGGAGGGGACTTACCGTTCTCGCTCTCCTGTTTCTATTAGTTTTTGGTTAATAGTTGCTCTCATCTGTGCATCTTTGTTCATTTTGCAAACCTAGATTTCGACAGCAAGTCTATAAAATTATAAAAAAGATTTTAACAGCACTGTTTAATTCCATACATGTTTTCTTATGTTGCAAATGATTAGTAAACAATTACAGACTGCAGAGAGCATAATGGAAATGTAAGACCTGGTCTACATTAGAAAATTAAAAGCTTCAGAGGGGCAGCTGAATTAATCTGTAACAGGAAAAACTTTAAAAACAACAAATAGTCTAGTCGCACCTTAAAGACTAACAAAACATGTAGATGGCATCATGAGCTTTCATGGGCAAAATCAGAAAAGTAGGTAGGTTTAACTAGGTCAGTCAGAGCATCCACTCACCCCGAGTAGAATTATTAAACAGACCAAAGTCCCTCTGTAGACAGTGCAAGACTAATAGAAGAATTCTTCTGGCAATCTGGCAACCACATCAGGAAACTGGATTAGTTATACCAATAAGAGAACCCTTCCTGTCAGGATAGGCAGCACCTACATTAAAGTGCTATAGTGCAGCATTTTGTGCATAGACTCCTCTGGGTCTGACAGTTTAATTTACACAATTAGAAGACAGACACTAACTCAACTTACTAAGACTGTCACAAGTCATCCATCATACACTGTTTATATCAGAAATACTAATTAGAAGAACGTGGCAAGGTGATTACATTAGTGAACCTAATTGTCCTTACAAATTCAGAAACTACTACAGGCAGTCCCCGACTTACGTCGGATCCGCACTTACGAACGGGGCTTTTCTCGCCCCGGAGCTCGCGGGCGGCAGGACCGCCCAGAGCACACCAGCCCCGCCCCCGCGTCCTCCGGGGCGAGAAAAGCTGCTCCGGGTCTCCCTGGTGTGCTGGGGGGAACTCCCCAGCACAGCAGGGAGACCTGAGCAAAGCCGCACAGGCGGCGGGATCCTGCTGCCCACGCGGCTTTGCTCCTTTGCCCCGGAGAAAAGCCGCACAGGCGGCGGGGTCCCCCGCCT